TTTGTGTCTGGGTGTTGTTCCGTTCTTAATCTACACCAACATTCACACCCACACCACAAACCCCACCCGAACCCACACTCACATCCACACCCCCACACCCACCCACACCCACGTGCTAATGGCGAGTCAAGATGATAAACAAGCTTTGCTATATCTTCGACAGGCATTACAGATATGGAAATTAACATTGGTAACTCAACATCCTGATTTAATCCTCTGGATGAAAAATATCGCTGCTCTTCATTGACGACAAGTGCAACAATCAATAAAAGAAAAACAATTTGGGCGCTTTAATGCTCCACTAGCAGCAGATACACTCTATTAGTTGTTGCTATTTGCTTGTATTTAGTCAAGAGATTGCAAAAATTCGTCTTCAAAGAAAATCCGATATAAATATCCATTCATGAAAAAGTTTCATACGATCAGGAAACCTATGTTTATCGCGGATATCTTAAGTAGCAAAAAAATTCACGAACGCACCGGATATCAACAGACGAACACGTACACGGCGTCTTATTCACAACATATACTTTTGTTCGGAATGCACCTTTTAAAGAACGTTCCAAATTATCTAGAGGGTGAACGCGAGGTGACCCGAATTTATTGCGAAAAAACTTCAATTAGTATCTTTTCTAAAATCAGTAAAGCCGTTTCGTTTCTTCTGCTTCCTTTCTTTATTCATTGTTTGCTTTCCTCTATGCCCAAGAATTCTAAACCAATAGGAAAGTAAAACGAGGTGTTTCTAAAAGCCAGAATTACACGCACATGTTTACACGACATATCTACTCACAAAAATTGTTGATAAATTTTGTTAAGGATTTCTTCAACGCAAAACCATGACAGAACAATTACGAATAAGTCTTTACTTCACTGTCAATGAATAGAAATTTACTGTGTTGAAATGGCGTCAGAAGACGTCTTGAGAAAGCAAATAGCTATATTTTTAACCGAAAACATCTGAATTTCGACCAATAAGTATTTCGCAAATACTTCTCTACACAAATTCAGCCTTTTATAATCTTCAGACACAATAGATAACAGTAAGTCGTATTTATCAAACTAAAATTATGCTTTCTAGTGGTTTGAGGATGGGTGTAGGTGTTGGTGAGTGTGGATAGGTATGGGTGTCGGTGGGTGTCAATCTTGTCTTCAGCCATACCCATCCTAAAGCTGGAAATGTCATGCAATGCGAATGTACCTGATCCACAATTGAGTTTTGAGATATGGGACTGATCGCAAATTACAAAATTAAATTACCCTGTAAGAAAAACAATAAAAACAAACCAATTATAATCTTCAGTGTAGAGAAAGCATTTTACGTAATTATATATCAAATCAATTTCTATACAATATGAATATGTCTTTCGTATTAACGCATATAAAATATAAAGAAATAAGAGCTATGAAAAATATACATTTATATTTGTATCTAACATAAACAGATACGTCCGCTTCCTGTAATTAAGGAATCAAGGTGTTCTACCATGTCTAAATAAAAGAAACATGTCAAAACCATTCTAGCTTTAGTCTTCATTGAATTTAAACCCGAAATCTTGAAAACTAGGCATATTTTTGATCAAATATACTTTTGTTTCTTTAAGTTAAAAGTTTTTAATCAAATTATTGAGGGAGAACTTTCTACTCTACTGGAAGCGTTTCTCCTTCAGACAGAATTATATTATGAAGGTTCTTCTGTTATAGGAGAAAGTGGAAGTGATTTACATGGCAATCGTTTAGAATAAAATAAACAAGTTGAAATAAAGATAACAAAGTTCTAGATATCTCGAGTTGAATTTAAGAAAGTTTCTGTTTCGCCTGAGTGTAGCAGTTCAAGAATTCCTCTTGTTTTCAATTCTACTCAAAGTCTGAAAAAATCAAGATGCAATATCTTCGATCCTTACAATCACTGTGATATATTTATTTGTTCAAATACTTAACTAAAGCGATAAATCAAAAAATAATTGCACAGAATCCAATTCTCTCTCAGCAATATTTCTATTGAAGAAAATCAAAAAATCTTGATTTATTTATAATATTGTATGTAAATAACAAATATGTTTGTATTTAAAGTCGACTCTACTTCAGAATTTTCATAAATACTTGTTTGTTTTAATCATCTTTAATCATGAAAATAAAAAAAATAAAACATTTTTTCTTTTATATGCTATTTTTTCTGTTCAATAAAACAATTTTGAACCATGTCGTCCACGTTGCTGCCTCGGATTTTTTCGATCAGATGTTTGTGAAAGTGTTGATGCAGCAGCACGAATAATTGCTGGAGAATATTTACGTCCTTGATTAAATGCCATATAAATAAACGGATTAAGACCACTTTGAAGAAAACATATTGTTTGTAAAACTCCATCGAGCCATGATGGCTTACGAAAATGATGATTAGAATAAATTTCAATTAATGTAATAACCATATAGGGTGTCCAACACACAACAAATACAATAATAATAGTCATAGCTAATTTAACTGTTTTAACTTTTGTTGGAGATGTTAAAAGTGTTGATGATAATACTGTTGTTTGACCATATGTATTTTGTGTCCAGATTTTTTTTGATTTATTAACAATACGTATGATTTGTATATACCATATAGTCATACAAAGAGCAGGTAAAACAAGAACATATGTTGCAAATGTTGTAAAATAAACACGACGTTGCCATTCAGCTGTATAACCATTGCTTGCACAACGATATTTTGTTAAACTTCCGTTAAAAAGACTTTGTTGAAATATAAACAATTGTGGTATAGCAACTATACATGAGCTTAACCAACATAGTATGATAATAAAACGAATACGAGCAGAATATTGACATGTTCGCAATGGACAACAAACTGCTACATATCTAAATAAGAATTCATTAAGAAATATTTGACAACAAAAAATCGTATTTTCAACAAATTTACTTGATATTTTTATATGTCATAGACTATTGTATATATTTTATTGCCGTTTAAGTACATAAGGC